TAGGGAAAATGCCTGATCCTGGACTGCTGTAAGAACTGAAATTTTTGTGCTCTTTGGAACTTGCCCTGAGTATAGGCATAAACAGAACTGAATTCATCTTTGGAAGAGAAAATTTATGGGACAGTTGTTTCATGCACATGGCATTGCACTCAACCTTAGTAAATTCTGGTCCAGAATGGGCATTTGTTTTGCCCGTGGTGTCCTGGTCCTGGCTTTGCACAGGGCAAGCTTAGCCTCCACACCAGGTGATGCTGCCTCTGGACTCAGGCTGCCTCTGGGATCAGTTTGGTGACATTCTCTGTTTAATGTGGGTCACGTGGCAGCAGTCCTGAACTAAAAAAATTGATGGATGTGATTTGTCTGTGCACAAAGTCAGTCAGTCTGCAACCTGAATACATCATTTGCTAACGACTGAGCAATGACAATACCAACTGTACCTGATGACTCTTTTATAAATAGTTGCATGAGGTGTGTGCTATCATTTCAAATGGATGCTGCCATGAGCATGACTGCATCAGCTCTCTGCATTTTCAAAGAAAACAAAGGAGTTCAGAGCTTCTGGCATGGATTGGAGGGGGGGGCATTAATTATTTTTTTCTTAAATTATACATGACGATACAACACAGTGCAAGTGTTTCTCAGTAGGAGAGATCTTACATCACAGGTGAAGATGACCACTATTTTGAGGCAGGGTGTGCTTTCCTTTTGTACTGTTTTTTCATAGCATTCACTGCAGAGGACATTGGATGGCAGCATGATCTTTGTGCTCCCACTTGTGCACATTAATGTAGCAAAGAGGACCTCCAAGTATTGGTGTCCCCCTTCATTTAGTTTTCACTTGCTCATATTTTCGCTTTATGTTCCATTTATCTGTAGCTGTGTTGTCAAGATTTCTAGAATATAAAAAGCTGTGTAATATTCTCATAGCACTGGAGCTATTTTTAGCTGTAAAGAGAGGATCTGGATCAACTCAAAATAAGCTGACAACAATTGCTGCATGAGCCAGAGGGTGGGGGAAGTGTAAATTATGGGATGACAGTACAACATAGTTGTGCTTTGCCAGAATGTTCTGTCACTGTGAACTGGTATTTCCCTGTCAGATTGTGTTAGTATTTATCACAGTTTTGAAACAAACAAATGAAACCCAAACTTTTACCTTGAGTGGTGCTGAAAAGTTTTGACCCACCTGATGGCTGATGTGCATGCCGATTAGGTGGGGTGGTTGAGGTTTTCTTCCCTAGTTTTTGTGGAATTTTTTGTTTGTTTGGGGGTTTTGTTTGTGTGTTTTTGCCTAGTCCTGTCTGTGCTGCATCTTTGTAAATATTGAGTGCAGACACAGGAATCTTAAAAGGAGTGAGGAGTTCATTTTGTAAAACCAAGTCCCTTTTGTGTCAGTAATCATGTGGGAAGAAAAATTGAAAGTTTATTGTGTGTGCTTATCCATGCCAGCTCTTATTTTAATCATGAGGATTTGAAATGCCTTTTTGTTCCTCACTCATTTAAAACAACTTGCTTACGTTGCTTATTTATTTTTAACTGTCTTCTAGTTTCTGACTTATCGTGTCTTGCTCTTCTAGAAGGAGTTCTGGAAAGTCTACAAAAACGGACTCCAGGGAGAAAGTAACACAGGACATACCTGGTATTCATTTTACCTTGCGTTCCCATTAATCATTGGCCTTTTCGTTATCCTCATTGTCATTTTTGTCATCTGGAGATGCCTGTTTAAAAAGAAAATGCGTAGGCAGTCGGTGTACGTGCCCAGGGGAGCCCAGGGAGCTGTGGCTGATGGCAGAGCTCCTGTCCCACCGCTCAGCATTGTTCATTCCCCACAGGAGGAATTGTATGAAGTCAGTGGGCTCTCCCCGGGAGGTCTGAGCTACACGGACGCACGGTCAGACTCCATATCCACCAGGCTCTCAAACTGTGATCCTCCTCCTTCATACGAGGAAGCCACTGGTGAAATCAGTCTGAGGAGGAGTGAAACTGAGCAGCATTTGGATCCACCCCCACAATACGAAGACATTGTCAACTCCAGTTCAGCCGGTGCGATTGCTCTGTCTCCCATCGTCACCAGTGCTAAGTAAAACAAGAGCGATGCCATGGACCTTTGAAAAATTAGGAATCATTTTGTAGCACTTTATCTTGGCTTATTATGCATTTCTGTAATTTAATGGACTTGGACGATGAATTTCACTTTTTTTTTTTTTTTAGGTTCACTCGTTCTTTGGGTTTGGGATTTTTTTCCCCCTACAGAAGGTCTTAAAAGATAAGGAATGTTTTCCTTATTCTCTTACTGAGAGTGTTTGCAGATACAGATGTGGTGCTCTGTCATACTTCTCAAAAGTACCTCTGTTTGAGGGATGTCACATATTTTATTCCAAATATTGTCCACATCCCCCACAAGATTTGTGGGATCCCCCTCCCCTTTCTTACTGCAGACTGTCAAAATTCCCTGCAATAGGGAATCCTTGAGCAATGTTTGAATAGTTATATACACTAAAGGGACTGATTTTGCAGTATTGCCTCTTGTCTGGTTGGTTCCTTTTTCTCACCTGTTTTTTTTCCATGCTCCACCCTGTCGTGGGTCCTCAGGAGGCTGAGAGGAGTATCCTTTGTGTTCAAACCAGGATCTCCTTTAGAGAATGCTGGGGTAATAGCAATAATTTCAGAGTCCTAGCAGAGGAGGTATATTCTATGTTTTTGCTGTTACAGTTCAAAATTCTGTAAATGTTTAGAAGCTACTAAGACACTCATTAATGAATTTAATGGTGTATGTTTTTGTCTTTGTTCTGCCTTTCCCCTGTTTTCCTATCTGGTTTTACTTGTGTATTCTCAAGGTGAGAAATGTGCATATGTTAACTTCAGAACTTGAAAATTCATGCAACAGTAAATAATGGAATACTGAAATACTCAAGTGTGGATAAGATCCTGATAATAGACTTCCTGCCATAGTCTTCACTGGGACCATAAGCACATAAACCCAAAGGTATTACTTTCGTTTTTAAATGGGGAAAAAGGAAATTCAGTGTGTGTGACTTCCTTTTTTTTTCCCCAACTGTGAAAACCTTCCTCAAGGTTTCCCCAGCTATGAATCCTTTCCCAAAGTTCTGACACTCTCTTGCCTTTCTCATATATACTGTGTGTGCACCTTGTATTGGTGCCTGTGGAAATCCTTTGCAGAGAAAACAGATACCTTCTTCCAACAACAAATATATTTATTGCTTTTGCATTCCAACAAGGAATTCTAAGAACATGCAGGCATAACCCCAAGCATTAGTGTGGAGTAACTTTTTGAGGCTGAAGAGATGTGGGTTTCTGCCAGATGATGCAAGTTATATATAGAATTTCACCCACCTGGTGTAGACACTGATGATAGTTAAGGTGGTGCAGTTCATGTGTGGTGATGCTTTTTCCCAGCTTGATTTTAAAGTTCATTTGCTTGGTTTAACTTCTGACTATTCGTTTCTGATTTCTTTCTTCCCACACCAGGGTAAAGAGGCATTAGCTTAGTACTGTCTGTGTTTTACCAATCCATTAGCACCAACTGAAATGTATTTAGCCCTGAAGGACTAAATTGTCATGTTGACTTTCTTACAACAGAAACCCAAACCACAGCTGGTTTCAAATACCCCAAATGCCAGTGCCATCCATTTGAAACTGGTCTTAATGTCAGTCTGATGGGGGCTTGGCCCAATTTTTCCAGAAGGATTTTTGCAGGAAGAGACTGGAAAGGAATGTATGGTCATAGATGGGGGTGTATGTGCACACTTCAGTAAGATTATGCTCTAATGTATTGACATGAGTGAGGATTTTATGATTCATTTAATGTTCTCATTTTTGACAAAGATTAGGTTGCCTGAGTTGTCTGCTGGAGATCTTCAGCTGCTAAGGCAAGTAGTAGTAGAGTTACTAGATGAACTCCTGGCCAAACTCCTGACTCCATTGTCAAAACTGTAACTCTTATTTGTATTTATTACATAAAATAGATTCTGGGCATATAAGTACAATATGTTTTGGACACTTGTAGTAAAAATTGCCTGGGTCTTGTTTTTGGACTGTCTGACCTTTTCTTTTGAAGTGGTTTTAGCTCTTGTGAATCCTGAATTGCCACTTGTAGAAGTTAAAGCTCCTTTTGTACCGAGTGACAGTCAATAAATAAACTGCTCCAGGCAGATGTTACGAAAACAAAGTGCCTCATCCCAACGTGCAGGAACCACCTCAGAAAGAGCTGGTACTTCAGTGTCTGTGCCATATTGGCATCTCCTGTGCCTGCCAGCACAGATACTAGTTTTAACTGTAGCTTGTAGCAGTAGCTTTCTGGTTAGGATATGAGACTTTCCTGTAGGAAATGCATGGAGATCACCCACTTCACATTCAGCAGATGTCATCATCCCCTGAACATGGGCACTCTGCTTTCAAACTTTAGAGATGAGCTGAGTTGGCTTTTCCCTTTTCTTCTTGTTTTCTTTTCACCCAATATTCCACCACTCCTTTTAAAGGCTTTGTTTCTGGCTCCTAAGTTGAATATATTACTTTATCCTGTTACGGTATCCTGTAGATACTTTGATGTGCAATCCAAAATCAATGCTTGCCATTCCAAAAAAAAAACAAAAACCAAACGCAACCAAATACCTAAAGTGATCTATGAGTCAAGTTTATTGGGCTATGCCTTTTCCATGTAGAGGAGCATGAAAGCCATTGTGGGCTATAAATCTGTGTCTTGGTGAATAAATTTCATAGCTAAACAAAACTTGTGTGGGACAGTTATCCAAATGTATTTCCTCTGACATGAACAGTTTTCTCTATGTTGGAATAGTGTCAAATTACAAATTGTTTTGTTCTGTTTGCTGAAACGTGGGAAAACAACTTGGTCTTGTGGCTGGCTTTTCTAACCTGATTGGAAAATAAAATTTCATTTGTACTGGGGTTTTATACAGCTTTTTTGTTGTTATTTTACCTATCCTGTAATTGTCATGCAATGTCATGCAATAAATCTGAATTTATAGTTGTACCTCTGAGGTTTTGCAGCTCTGAATGCAGTGCTATCTTCACTGAGGACATGGATAGTCAGGGTGCTGCCTTTCCCACTCCTGAATGTAACACTGAATTTCATCTTGTATTAGGACTGAAGATGATTTAGCTACTATAACTTAAATGTGTCGCTGTTTTCAGAAGTTATGGAAATTAATGACTTGCTTAGATGATATTAACATTAGTGAAGGTTGTTCTGTCTTCACTGGATGTAAATAACCTCTGATTACAGTATTGCATATTTGAAAGGGGCTTGGTTTACATTAAATTATCCTATTTAAACATTTTTGCCTATGTTTATAGACAATTTTTTGTAACATTTGTTTTTCAATATGCTAAATAAAATTTTTTAAGATTCCTCTAATGCTTCAAAATATCAATTCTACACAACTACAGTGAGAATTGTGTATTTAAGTTGTCTTTTAATTTCTGTCATTCTGGGGACTTAATGAGTTGCATGAATCAATTGCTTTGATGATATAAAATATACATATAATTTTATTTGCAGGTAAGAAAGTCTATTCTTTCAAAATTCAGGCTCAGTTTTAATCAGATTTGTGAATTTGTATGGCTTCCAGTTTTAAAGAAAGCTTTTGCTGGAGCCATAGCTAAATAACAGTCACAGGTCATGGGAAAGCAGAAATTATCTGTTACAACAGATTGAAATAGTTCACTGTAGCAAAAAATACTTAAGGCAGAGGACTTAATTTCAAAGTTGACTTCAGCCATTTGAAAATGATTACAAAATTTTGCATCAGCTCTGGGAATGATGTCTTAATAACAACCAAAACAGCCCAAACCCAACATTGCATAGTGATCCCTGCTGGAACTGAAAGTCTCCATTCCAGTCAACATAAACTTTGTGTCATCCTTCCTCACCCTGGTACCCAGGATATGTCCCTGGTATTGTTCAGAGCTTTCTGCATGGCTGGAGCCTCTTGCAGAGGTTGGTAAAGCTCAGAGGGAGGTTCGTGTCTGAGCTTTGTGGGCACGAGTGCAGTTTTGTACCTGTCATAACACAAGGGCAAAGAGAGTCCCTTGAAGAGCAAAGTGTGTGTGACTTTCCAGGCTGTCGTGTGCCCAGTGTAGCACCTTGCTCCCCTTGGGAAGCTTTTGTGTAGCCCAGGCCAGTGCCACCCAGACAGGCTCTGCCCTGGGTTCAGTGGTGCTTGCTGTGCACAGACACTGTGTCCTGGCCATACATCCATCAGCATCACCTGGAGTGTTTGCACATGGCTCAGTGCATGATTACCTGTGCATCCCTGGCTTCCAGCTAGAGAAACACCATGGATATAAACTGGTATCATGGACCTCGGTGTCTATAAAAATCAGATCATCGTGTAGGTTACTAGTGATGAATGTTCATTATTTGCTGTTTCACATGCCCTGAGCACTGTTCTCTGCTGCTCTAAATCACACCAATAGGTTTCTTTTTATCTTCTGCATAATGTGAACTTTGTAAATGTCTCCTAGTGCTGGTTGCTGGTTTTTAAAAGGCAGGAAAACCATGTTCAGCTGAAAGCAGTGAGGTGACATCTGTACTGTTCATTGCTTGCTGCACACACGTTTGACTGATTTGCTACAGGGTAATTGAACTTTGAGCTTTGACAGAAAGTTGAACTGTGCTTTTCTTCTGAGGGGGGATCTCAGTAATTGTATTTTTCATTTGGCAGTGAGTTATTGAATGCTAAGCAACAAGTCAGTCCAAGAAAGGCCTTGCTTACATTCTCTTGACCATATATATATATATACCAGCACATATATCATACAGCACTTGCTTACCATTTACCTCCATGCAGCAATATTTGTTGTAATATTAAGACCTGTGTTCTCTTTCTCTGTCCTGTATCTGTGTATCATGCAATACAAACACACACTACTGTGCTCTTTTCCCCTTGGAAACAACAAAACCTAAGAATCAAAACAAGACTTTTCAGCATAACCCACCATTTCCTTCTCCACTTGGAAGCTTTGGTACCTGCATGACTCCTGGGGTCAGCTGAGGAGCTTAAAGCAAGAAGAAAAAAAGTTCTTAAAAAATTGATTTTGATACTCTCAGCAATGAA